TAAGAAAAGTACAATGCACTACTACTGAAACACAACGGTTTCAGCGTGAATCAAAACGATCAGCAACACACCGTATGTCTCAACAAGAATTATAGGAGAAAATACCCTTCGGTAGGTCTGAGAGGCACGGGTTACAACTCTGACATTCGGTTATCACTTGACAACACTGTTAACGCCATGCCATTTGTGCGCGGCCCTGATGATGCTACGGAGCATGTAGCGAAACACATAGGCATAAAGATTACATCAACTGTTGTGTTTAGTTCCCTGAACCATGAATCGTTTAACCAGCCATCTAAATCAAACCAACGTCGACCCCTCTATCACTTGGAGTCTGAAGCGTTTATTTAATTTCGTGGAATATTGAGGCCAACAGCATACAGGAAACGAAAGATGCCCTCAATGTCAAAGCGAGTTTGAGGCATTTTGGCCACCGCCGCTTTGGTCTTGATAACGTCGTACTCGACGTTTTAACTGCAGATAAAAGCCGCGGTTCGATTCCATCCAGACTATGAAACTGTGACGACAGTTGGCATGTTTTTCCAGCACGTTTCATTCATGATTCTCAAAGACCACCATTGGATAAAAATTCTGTATTTTCTCTAGAGATTCGACTATTTAAAATTCCAAAAAAAGATCAAGCCCATAAACACTTGATCGACCTCCTCGAATGCTGAAACAGGAAATTAAAGGTTAGTTAAAACGGAGCCGCAATTCTTATCATCACAAACAATGCTTCAGAAGACGGTACTTAGGACACGAGACTTCCACAAAAATGAGTCCATACGTTGGGGTACTTTAATTGGCTAATTGTCAATTTTTACCTTTCTACATTGCGCTGGCTTCAAGTCAGCTGTCGCGCAGGTCAATACGAATTGATGCCCTAAGCTCACACATCAAGCAAGCAACTTACAAACGGGGATTTCACTTTGCAAGGCATCGCACTTCTTTTTCGTTAAACATGAAGGCAGCATTTCTTTACTCCAAGGTACCATGTGGGCCATTTATACAGACCATAACTATACGGCATTGAAAAAACTTCATTGAATCTTTGGTCGCATTTGCAGCCCTCTCATTTTCAGTCCTTAACTGAAGTAGTTGTATAGTTTCCCACAGTTGCAGGCCTCATAAATTCTTCATAATTACAGTCAAGCCGATCTCAAAGTGGTCAAAGGCAGCCCAAAATCAGACCGAACATAACATATTCTTTTATTATTTTCATAAAGACGTAGTTATATCTCATCACCTAAAACTAGAAACTTTCGACCATTGTTATTTCTGATTTATGACGCTGCTGTACTAACCGCCCGAGACAGCGGCGGCAAAGGTCAAAGGACATATTCCTCATCAAATGCTGATGACGTTGCACTCTGGCCGACGCTTCGGCGTTTTATGTGGAACTGCGCGTTGCATGCTGGTCTACAATTAAATGACCCAAACCTATCGTAGTATGACGATACCAGAAAACAGCAAGTTGTCTTTGTAAAAATTGTTATTGAAGTAAAATGAAGCACCCTCTCTCCGGCTGAGGGCCAAACCAGAGAACCTCGTGATTGCCAACCCTTGACGATCGCTGTTTACATCCTCAAACTGGTTGCAGTCACTTTCCCAGGTCGGTTTTGCTACATCGCGGCCGAAGCCGAAAGTGATACGTTACGTTAACATAACTTGTGCGCGTAGTTGAACAACGGCTCGATTTCACATGTGCAAATAATCTGCAGAGCGACGGAAACTCGAGAGCGTTGCGAACGGC